TGCCGAGTCAAACCAGAATGCCGAGCACTGCGAGCCATACGCAGCCCTCGTTATCATCAGAACAGCGCCGTCACATACTTAACCTTTCCAGACCAGCCTTTCTGCATTATTTTCCAAATGACCTTTAGCGTTACTTATTTCATTTTCTATAATGGCACACTAAATTTAGCTAAATGCATCAGAGCAAAATGTGTTTATTTTGGTGAAGGGGACTTCACTGACTGACAAGGACTCTGTCCTCAGACCCAAACTGTTAAATGTCTGAAACAGTAAACGGTAAAATATTGTTTTTACACAGAAAGTACAGGGCTCTGTGTCTGATGTGCACAAAGATAGAAGCAAATTGGGGGGAGTATGCACGCTTAATAAAAAAAATATGTTTGTTGTTTATTTTAATGGAAGTTAAAGGATGCAAATGTAAATACAACTCCCTGGTCAAAGTCAGCTCACCAACTTCTAGGACTGACACAAAAAAAATGGAGGTTTATCTGATCAAAGATAGAATTGAGTTGGTTTGCCTTGAGACAATCAAACTCTTTTTTATATATTTTATGACCTTAGATGCCTCCTGTTGCATATTTACAGACCTCTGGAGGTTGATAAAATAACGAATGAAATATTTAAACACAAAAGCCTGATTGAATCTGAGCAGTTTGAGGAAAAAAAATAACATTTACATATTTTTTTTTGGACTAATTAATCCGGATTTTCTGCTTCCAGTTGCTGCCAACACATGATGCACACTCTTGGTCAAACACAGCTAAATCCTACAGGACGTCATGCGCTTTAAAAAGGTCTAACTTTAAAATTGGATGCAAAAAACTAACCCTGGAGCTGTTGTATCACAGGCACAGTGCCTCAGCCTGCAAGGAGCAGCGTGCGTTTCACATCCGTGCTGTATGAAGCGCGGGGGGGTTGGGGTGGAGGGATCTTAGTGAAATCGCTAATGTACGTGATGATTAAGTGTAACTCAAATACCGACTGTGTTGTTCATAGGCCTGACAGGCAGTAATTTGGTGTATTATATTCTGCGGTTTTAATTGCACGCCACCAACGTGTCTCTCTGACACATTATGAAGCGATGATGTACAATTATTTCAGGGCGGCGGGAGATCAGTGGAGTGACATTATAATCATCCTCATAGGGATCCCTCTCTTCATCTGCAACAACCATTAATGTTTAAATGGGAGGAAAAAAAAACATAAAAATAGTTCTCAGGGAGTTCTAACCAGAATCTGTTGGAGGATTATAGAGAATCACGTCAGGGGAGAAGGAGAGGGGTGTGGATAGACAATGGAGGGGCTGAGTTAAGTGACGGCTTTCTCTGGATAAGCAGCGAGCTAAGATGCGCCTCCACTGTCATTGCCAGGCCTCACACTACTCATACGGGCCCGGGCATTAAGGCACATTACAGCGGATGAGCCACGCAGGGCGGAACTGATGGGCTATTCTGGGAACAGACCAGACAATCTCACAAGACAGGGGGGGACATAAAAACCCTGACATGAGCCAGCCCCATCCTGTTAACAGTCAAATCACACACACAACACCCAACATGAAATCATGACTATATATACTCCCTCTAACACTAAGTCAAGAAAACTGAGACAAGAAGGGAGGGAGGGGAAAACACAAAGCAGCCTCGGAGGAGGAGGAGACGGACTTTAGCACGTCGCAAACTTTTTTGTGTTGTGAGAAGAAAAAAAAAAGGTTTTTAAGTTTTGTTCAAATTCCTGAAGTGACACTTGGAAACGGGCAGCTTATGACCTATAATCATAAAACGGCAGTCCACAAGAGGACAATCCATGTCCATGATAGTGTTAATACTTCTAAGGCCGGGACTGAGATATTAAACCAATGCCTCAAAGCATTTACTCTGTTTATGCATAATTTAACACCTACAACAGCACTGGATGTCCGTTGCATCTTTGGGGAGGACGAAAGAGCGGGAGGGTGGAAATGCTGAATCCAGGCCCTTTCTGTTAGATGATGGAGAAAAGGAGGAGGAGGAGGAGTAGGCTCATTAAGTGGCCGAGGCCCCACTGTGGACAAAACACGCCGGGAGGAGCCGCAAGAATCTGCCGCCTCACATACTGGAGGATTTTTTTTTTCAACCAATTAAATATGAGAAATCTTATCTTGCATGCTAACAGCCAATTTGTGTTTTTCTGCTGTTTTTGCACTTTAAGAGTTCTTTATAGGCAAATTAAGACAGATCAGGCTGTTTAAAAAATGAAGGCAGAATGTAGGCTAAACAGGCAGGTAGAAACAGAGACAAACAGATGTCTGGTGGGAGTGAGACACACTGGAAGCAAGCAACAGAACGCCTCTGAAGTCTTACTGATGACGAGCGAGGCACTGACCAGCACGCTCAGGTTTGATTGACAGCTTGGCCAAAGGGTTCCAATCTGTCCTGGCCTTGCATTTGCATTTGTTAATTAAATGCCACAACAATATGATCTTTAACTATCAATAAGTACCCCTCCCCATCACACACACACACACACACACACACACACACACACACACACACACACACACACACACACACACACACACACACACACACACACACACACACACACACACACACACACACACACACACACACACACACACACACACACACACACACACACACACACACACACACACACACACACACACACACACACCTAACGTTCCTGAGAAGATAACAGCAGTGTTGAGCTGAAACTAAAGCGAGGTGGACAGCTAAGGTGCAGCACATCCATTGGCTCGCAGTGTCAAAGCCGAGGTAATCTTCTAGTCGGGAAGTTTAACAAGAGAAACGCAAAAATCGATGGATGGAGGGAAGTTTTTTTGGTTGTTTTTCTGAAGGAAGGTAACAAAAGTTTATTTTTTAAAAACACAGAAGCAATATGCTGAATCGAGAGTCCAAACAACACAGGAGTAAATAAAACCAACAAAACTTGATGCCCCATGGAGGCCAGTGAGTCTGAATGAATGAAACACACATTTCACATAGTTAAAAAGCAGCCCCGACAAATAGTGCTGTGTTCATTTAAATGATTAATGCGTGTAAACAAATATCCAGAAGAAAAAAAAAAAACTTTTTTTAGTTTCCCAATTGTGGGCCCGTCATTAGCATCTGTGGGATAATGCAGAACTTAATGGCGCTATAATCACACTTTACACATTACACCTGAAAGCCGGTCATCCATTAGTAACCTGCTTTAGATTCAGGTTAAGGGCAGATCATCAAACGAGGAGAGTTTGGGAAGGGGAGCAGGCTATGTGTATGTATGACTCTGGCCTTAATGAGGGTGTTTCTGGAGGTTTCTTTGTGTTTGCTGCTCTTTAGTCAAGAGGAGCGACGGTCTGGTGATCAGTCAGCACTGAAAGCACACACAGGGCCGATTTGTCACCAGCGGCTGGCACTGGCAGCACACAGCTCCTCCGTCTGCATGATTTGTGAAACCAGGAGCTGTATTTAGTGGTCCCATTTAAAGGCATATTGGAGAATGTGTGTGTGTGTGTGTGAGTGAGTGTTTGAGTGTGTGTGTTTATGTGCATGTAAAGCTAGTCACTTGGTCACAGCTCAACATATTCGCAGCACTTGGGAGAAGAGGGTTTTTCAGCTGGAGGGCTTGTGAAACATGAGCCTTTCCTCTCATTAAAGGAGAAGCTGGGCTTAAACCAAAGCTTGTTTGCTCCTGCTGTAATATGTTTGCGAACATCGGGCTGGAGCAAATAAACATTTTCGCTCTGCCCGGCTTTCAGAAGAACAAAAATCGGCCGGCGACTGAACTAAATGGAACAGTTTACACAGAATTACACGGAGGGAGAAACTAATAACTCGGCATATGTCTTCATCTCAGTGAGCCCGTAGCCGCCGCAGAAGCTCGATGGCACAAAGCTGGAAAATCCCACAATTTACTCTATTCCCCGACTGCAATGTTTAACAGCTTAACACGTCCATTTGAACATGGTAAGGCAGTGAGGAGGTCTACCACGGGACTGAAACGAGCTGAACACAACATATGGTCTGTATGTAGGGGGTACAAGGTAGAGAGGGGTAATAACTGTACTCTGGCACTACTGGGTATTTATGGACTCATAGTTACATACCTACACCTTACATCAGGACTGTTTGACACCTGAAACCATGAAGAAGGTTAAATTATGGGTTTGGGAAAGTAATAATTGTGTATTGCTGTATGCTGTATGATGTATGTAATGTTACTGACTGAAATTACCAGATTATAAATGCATGCAACCTTTCACAAAAATAAGCTAAAATTAATTTTATCTATATAACTTTACCGGAAGATCTGACACCAGTCACATAGGTAAGTGGGAACAAGGCATTAAAGGTCCAATAAGTAAGATATTTACTGAATTAAATCATAAAAAGACATTAAAAAAACATGCTATGTTGAAGTGTTGGCTTTCTGTCAACCATGCAGCAGCCAGCATGTCCTCCTCCTAAACTTCGATTCCAGTGCGGAATGGTTTGTTTTTGTTTTGGCCAGAGAAGCAGTCAGCATCTGACCGTTTTGCGCCTCGCCCCTCGGTTTGCCAAGCAGACGGCAAACCAACAGGTGTTACAGCGGTGAAAGCGGGCAAACTGTCAAGGTTCTGATATAACTGTTTCTACCAGACCTAAACGGCCTTTTTTTCTAATAAGCTCCACGACCAGAAATGTGGTGAAACTAGAATAAATATTGGAGATGCTTTTTAAAAATGGAGAGAGGTTAGAGAACAGAAAAGTTTCAAGATACAGAGGTGATTAGAGACGGAAGCTTCCGTGTTCGCGACATAGCAACCAGCATGCACAGCGACTCTATGGCCGAGGGGGCAGGGCGAGACAATGTTTTGAATATGGACTGCAGTACCCATTTTAAACGCTAGGCGTCAGAGTTACATATTGCTCCTTTAATGTTAACAAACTCGCTCTTTGTTGTTCGCCGTCTTTCTAAAAAAATTTTAAAAAAGGTTCTTGTTGCTTGTAACTCACCCACAGATGTCACATTTGTACTCTCTCATGCCGAGGTGTCTCTTCACGTGGTTCCTGGCGTCTCCCAGCTGAGCAGTTGCAAAGTTGCAGATCTTACACATGAAGGGCTTCGATCCTGTCAAACAATACGGCAACTCAAATTAGACAATATTATTACATTTCAATAAAAGAAAGGGTAATTTTCACTTCACTTAAAGAAACTGTCTAGCAGGAATGTGATCTTACAGTTCAGATCATTGTTCAGCATCAGGCATGTTTAGTCTGTTATTAGGTCTTTGGTGTAAGGAAAACCTGCATTACATGACTTTACTGAAATCCCCATAAAGACTATCAGTAGTACTGAGTGCCAGGCGTCCCTTCGTTCACTCTCTATCTATCCTTGTCACTCTCCTTCATCTCTTACCTACTCTTCCTTTGCTTCTGGATGCGTAAATTGGATTCCAAAGGTCAGGGCAAATACGTAAATCAATTCTGTGTGCGCTCACTACCTCCTATTCCATCATTAAAGCGCTAATCACTCTGGCGGGCTTCGCAGGGAGGTTTCTCCCTAATTATTGTCATTAATAAGTCCAGAGGGCGGGGTAGCGCTTGAGAGAGTGGCAGAGCCTCTGCCTGCAATCCGTCATTTAACAGCAGAGCAGGGAGGGCTGATTCCTCCGCTGCCTGTGACGCACAAACAACTACAAGCTGAAGTTAAAAGAGGAGACCTGGATGCTTTAGAAATGAGAACATGATTCTTTCATTTTATAAATGGTAGAGAAAGTCAGTGATTCATGTTGTTTACCAAACTCTACAGTCAGACAAATTATTTCTCAAAGCTTGAACTTTGTCCCAAAAATAAAAAAGGTGCAGAAGGAAGCCACCACACTTTGTTTTGCTGTCCAGAATTAGGCCAGCATGTGGCAGCCTGTTTTGATTTGATATCCACACACGCATCTTTGAGCAAGCCCTCACCCCATCGCAGTGAATATCCCAAGACGATCTGCAATATTTATTCCAGGGGCAGCCGTTGATTTGATTAAGCACTTTGTGTAGATTACTAATTCGTTCATACACGGTTCACTTGCTGTGAGCTGGAAGTACGACACATCGAATTTTAAGCCTGTAACGAAGATTGAAAGGCAAGCCTGGGCTAACAAGGCCCGTAAACACAGGGGGCGAGAGGGAGGGCGCAAGGGGGGTCCGCACATGGGCAACGGCAATGCCAGCCTCTTTCATTTCACAAGTCCCTGCAGTGTACCACACACACATACACACACACACACACACACAAATCACTACAAATAGCCAAAAAAAAGGTGCATGCACAAGGACAAAAACAGCACATAAACACTTCAAATCCCTATACATGACCACAAACTTCACACCTAAATGTGCAGACACTTTCGCACAAACTTAAAAATAATAAACCACACAACACAATCATCAACACTGACACTAAACAAAAAGACAGACGTACACACAAACACCCTCACACCTACCAATACCTACATCGAGATGCAGAGCCCCACCTCACACCTATGCATGTGCATACAGACACACACGCATTAAATTCACAAGACATAGTCACCCAATGGACAAACAGAAGGAGAGACAATCGCTCCTTCTCACTCACACACACACATATTCAAACACACACAACCTAAAGTTGAGGTGAGAGCGAGGCGTGTGGGGAGCTGATTTGTCCAGATGGCTGGCTGAGTATGAGACATGGCAGAGAGGAGAGAGATGTAACGTCCCTCAGTTCTCACATCTTATCACATTAATACTCCACCACTCCACTTAAACAGCCTCCGTGAAACTGAAATTGACCATCAATGCGGTGTCATGTTAAATTAATATTGCCATCCACACAGGGGCGATGTGGCTCCCTCACATCCCAGATGAGACAGGGAATGACTAATTCATTTCCTGAGAGGAGAGAGGAACCTCATGCAATGTTTCACTCCACACACAGACACACAGACACACACATACACACACTCCTATCATAGTCTTGGCTTTAATCCTCAGGTTTGGAGTAAGAAAATACAAAATGATGATTATATTTTAAAATGTATATGTATTATTTATTATTTTATTTTGAAAGGCTTACAGACAGAGTTTGAACATGTAAGTGTCCTACTCTTCAGTCACAGGCCAGCGCCAGCTCGACTAGTTCCAAGGTAAGCAGTGTTTAAGAAAGCATTAAATGTCACACATACGGCTGCAGATATCCAGCCAACATGTATTTGTTATCTGTCACTTTTTGTTGTTACTGTAACACACAAAGAGCAACACAGCAATTTCACACTAAAGGGAGTGGACCACCGCAACTGTGGTTAATTTTGTTCATTCATTTTATATAAACTTTAGACTTGTGTGTCAGCACAAAAATAGCCGACAAATATACCCATGGGGAGGAGAAGGAGAGAAAATGGTCTCTCAACGCGCACAAACACAAAAGGAAGATGTCGGCAGTGAACGGCCTCCAGTTTAAAAAAAAACACTAAAATTAACAAACTTTTGAAAAACAGGACGGGACTGACAAAACACCCATCAAAATAGAAATGTCAAGATTGAAATAGCATAGTGTAAGACAGATTCTGAATAGCTACAAGTCATAAATAACATATCATTAAGATTTATGAATATCAAATTATAAGCCCCAAGATTAAATACCAAATAAACAAAACGACAGAAAACTCCACTCTGTCATTCTTCTTTTTTTTTTTTTGCCAGTATCAACCTGTTGACGTCAAAGGTTTGTTTTCTTACTTTTGAAAACTGTTTTCAGAAACTGAGAGAATAGATCTATGATGGATGAACTGAATTTTGTATAAATACGTGTCTTAAATACTAGATTGTATTATTTTGTCATTCATAAGGATCCACTGCTCTGTTAGGGGCCTGGTGTGTCAGAGAAGATGTCTTTGCTACTTATGAAGATTTTGCTTTGAAGGCCTGTTATCAAAACCATCAAATACATGTTCTCCAGGTTGACTTTAGGTAGTCTCATTTAAAAAAAGACCAACTGGGGGCGGTCATGGTGCAGTGGTTGGTGCGCGCGCCCCATGTGTGGAGGCTGTGGTCCTCCAAGCGGACGGCCCGGGTTCAAATCCGACCTGTGGCTCCTTTCCCGCATTCCCTGATTTCCGACTCTATCCACTGTCCTATCTCTCAAATAAAGGCACCAAAAAAAAAAACACAGCAGTGTGAGAAACGGGTGAAGACAAGCGCCATCACACCCCAAACAAATGTTAACATAAAAAGAGTGAGCTGCTGAGATTTGGTCATTTTACAACATATAACACAATTTAATGTGATATCATTACATCCAGCCTCTCCTTGGATCTTACATTTCTCAGTCTTCTACTAAGACAGAGACACAGGACCTGATGTCACTGCATCCCTGGTCTGAAAGGTCATGAACATGTCAAATGATAAACTTGAAAATAACATTCCTGTTCACTCCAACTCCCCATACAGACCCACGTCCTTTATGTGGAAAAGTCCACAATCATCAGAAACATGTTTACTGCATATTCATCTGGATGCAGGCGGCTTTCTGTGACTTTTGAAAAATGGAAATATTTGCCCCACGCAGGGGAGGTTGTGTGTACATCTAGTTGCCTCCATTACCACTTGGCCTCAGTTTTTTTTTTATGCCAATCTGGGGATGGGGATTATTAAAGAAAATTAGAGTTGTCCTCACTGAGGCAGGCCAGCTGCTGCCTCATTGCTGCCTCAGAGTTCCTGAGAGACCAGTTGTCCACCAGTCCCTTCTTGTGGTCCCCTTCCAGCTTATCAAATGAGTCCTGAAGCCTGGGGGACTTCCCTCTGCACACACTGCTTCACCAGTTCCTCCGCTTCCTGCTCAGTGACTGCTGGGGGGGGGGGGGAAGAGGCGCTTGCATGGAAAACATGGATTAAATCTAGAGCTGTAAAAACGTTCCACAGTCACATTCCTCGGGCGCTGTGATTGGTTGATTTGGAAATCCCTGTGAAACGCTTTCTCATCTTGCCTTACCGTTGCATGGTTCTTCTACATGTTTTAGTCATCAGAATTCCATGCAGTCATTACTTTGATTACGAGTTATGAAGACACCTAGTATAGGACTTGTGTAGGTAAATCATCATATCATCATCCATCTTTAAAACACCTGTGGAACCGTTCTTACGCTTTGACTCCTTTGCCTCTTCTGCTAAGCATGTTCTAAATCTGAAGGATTGTTACACTTAACTGTAATTTACACTAAATTCATGAGATGAGCTCCTTTGTAATCACAGTGTCTCCCAGGGACATGCTGATTCCCCTTGATGTTCTTTATGTCCTTTTAAATGTGTCTATACATGATCAAAGAGAATTGAAGTGGTGTTAGAAACGTCTTTATCAAAGGCCCATATTCATGCAAGTTGTATTAAAAAAACAGATTCATGCAATCCCGTGGATTGGTCCAGTTTTACTCGTAACTTATTTGCACATATCACATCCTGTTTGTGAATGTGTAAGCAAGGCGTGTGTGTCTATTACTTTCAGGCTCAGTCTGAGGTCAGACAACTCACTCCAGTGAAAAAGTGACCAATTTACCTCCAAATGCAAATTCCAGCTGTAGCCTCATTGGCAAAATGGTAGGATGTGTATGCGTTTCCTTTAAGGGACAAATTGACAAATCTGTGTGCAGCCACCCACCACCATCTCCTGATTTCACTGATTAATCAAGTGAATAAAAACGAGGTCTTAATTAAAAGGATCTGGACGTGCTCCCAGCTCAGAAAGTGGCAAACGTGTGGCTCCAAAAACCCAACAAAACAAACTCCCAGAATAAATGACCACCGTAGAAAAAGGTGAATAATTCACTGTAATGAGGGAACTTAGCAATAATCACTACAGGCATATGTTGTCAAAATGAAGAGAAATAGAAGCTCTCCACAAAAAAAAAGGAACAGCAAAGATAAAAGTGGAGTAATCTCATAATCAAAATCATAACTCAATCGAATAGAAAGAGGTAAACCTAAAAAAAAAAAAAAAATGCAGAGTGTGTCCTTGACTTGGAGCCATCTGTTGGGACCTCGGAGTCACAGCTTTCATTTTCTTAAGTAACACTAAGTAAGTGACCTCAAAACTCAAGAAATATGACACCGGGTATAAATTATGAATACATGTAGAGTAATCGTTAATAAGAAGAAAGTGGTAGCACTACATTAATCATCGAGATTTAACCTCTAATTCTTACAGCTTTAAGCAGTCGGACTTTAGAGGTAAGCAACCTGCAATATCGCCACACAAGCTTTATATACTATGTATGATAGAAAATGTTCACCCTGCCTCGACTTGAAACTATCCCTCTGTCTCAGAAAACAATAGGTTATCTCATATATTCAAGGAGTAACACATTTTAATCTACTGTTATCTGTTGTAAAAAGTCACACAGTTTTATGTGCTTCCCAGTGATCCGTGAGGACACTGACAGAATATTATCGCTGAGTTTTCTAACAAGACTTGCACAAAAAAAAAGCTGCATTTCCAACACAAATAATCCACAGTCACCCGAAATAAAATCTATCCTATTCCACCACCCCCCCTCATATACATACTATAATGCACAGACATTGTAAGCACAGAGCATGGACTTCAATTAGGAGCCCATTAAAGTTTCGGCTGAAAGGGGGTTGAACCAAAGAAGGCAGAGAAGGGCATTTATTGATGGCGCCCTCACATCTCGTTCTTGCATTAAGCTGATTTTAAAAGCAATTAATACACATGGTCAGGGGAAAGTAATGGAGCACCCTGTGTTCTTAACCTGCTGGACGTTACCCAGCCGAAACCCCGGCCAACACCGCCCTGCTTTGCATTATAAATGACAAGATAAATCTTAATGGATTGAGCATAATCAGCTAGCCATGAAGGCTGACACACACACACACACACACACACACACACACACACACACACACACACACACACACACACACACACACACACACACACACACACACACACACACACACACACACACACACACACACACACACACACACACACACACACACACACACACACACACACACACACACACACACACACACACACACACACACACACACACACACACAGGGCAGGCGTACGAGTGCTCACACACACAAACATGGACATACAGACACAAGGGAAATTAAAGGGTTTGAATACGTCTGCATTGATTATTTTAAATTATTAGCCCACCTCTCTTTGGACCTCCAATGCTTTTAGCCTAAGCTTTAACACATTTACAGAGACTTATTGACTATAATTACAACTGAGTCTTGGTAATGGACACATCAATTATGAGTCGCACTTGTCTTTGACCAAGCGTTGCTCAGGGAATCCCAATCGGGGGTCCATTAGCGTCTCTCCTGCTGGTCTGAAGCTCAATCAGTCTTTACCTTCACCTTCACTGAAACTGCGATTACCTGGCTGCATTAGATAGTAGCCTGAACATTAGCATTAGCTGCCAAAGAGGAGGCTGCATCTGCCCACTCAATAGAGTTGGACCTAAAAACAAAAAAAAAAGGCCTAATAGTGGAGAGGAAACACAGAAATTCCTTTTGAGAGTTTTTGGGTTTAACTAGATATGTTCACAAGAAACACACAATACTGTTACCCATCAAATGTAAACCAAATATGTGTCCTTTGTACTGTTAACAGGGCCATTACTTTAGCCTTAAAGCATGTGAAGTGAATCATCACTTATTTTTATTTGGGGTCATTGCCCACCACCTATCAAGATCACGACCAAATCCGTTGGATGCATCGCAGGCGAAAACAACGTGAAAAACACACGAGCGAGAGAGAACTGCTTTAAAAAAATGGGATTTCTGTGATCGCAACATGGGTGAAAGTTACCAGCTAACATGACCAATGACATAGGGAAGGTTTTAGACAAGTAAACACTCCCCAGATTTGTACATTGGTGTAAATTTGATTATTACTTTGTTTTGTTTTTTCATTAAATGATGTTAGAATGGTTAAAGACAATAGTCGTTTAAATATGACGAGAGGTTCATTTAGCGTTGTACAACAAACAGCTGGCAGACATGACCTTCAGAGGAATCCTTTTTCATATTGTCAGTACATTTCAGAGTTTGTGCCTTTTCACTTTTACTTCAGTATCAGATGTTAAATTTGTAGATCTACTTGTGCCGGTCTCTTTTTAACTCAAGTATTTATTTGCAAAGTACTCAAGTAGTTCAGTGCATACTTTGACGTGCACTCTATAGTCCTTAAAGCGGCCGGCCTGGGTTCAAAACCAACCTGTGGCCCCTTTGCTGCATGTCATCCCCCACTCTCTCTCTCCCTGATTTCTGACTATCCACTGTGCTGTCTCTTTAATAAAAGTCAAAAAATGTATCTTTAAAGAAATGAATAAGATATGTGTTACTGTATTAATTTATCAAAGAATGGATTAAGATGTGAGTTTCCCTCCTAATACTGTGATGTAGTATTTGAAAGTCTTTTGATGCTGGAGCTCTATACTTATTATTTTCTTTTTCAATAGGGTAGATAAAATGAGGAACAATATCTGTGACCTGTTCTTACACAAGTCTGCTGAAAGCAGGGACACCCAGAGAAGAAGAGGAAGAGTGAGAGAGTAAAAAGAATACATACCGGTGTGAGTCCGAATGTGTGCCAGGAAGGCCATGGAGTTGCTGCTCCTGCACACCTTGCCGCAGTATTTGCACACGCTGCCCTGGTTCTCCTCTCGCTCGCGGTTGATCTGCTCGGTGTCCTCCAACACGTACTTGTTGACCTCCCTCAGAAGCTCCTCGTGCTTCTCCTTGATGTGAACGAACAGATCCTGCTCGGACTCGAAGCGGTCCGTGCATTTCACACACTTGAAGCTGGCGCCCCCCTCAGGTAGCTCCTCCACGCTATTCTGCTCGTTGCGGAGGTGGGCGGCACTGGTCAGGTGTTGGTGCAGGTTGCTCTCGGTGTAGAACGACTTGCCGCACACCAAGCAGTGAAAGTGTTTGTCCTTGGTCGGATGCTTCATTGAGATGTGCACGTTTAGGCCGCTGATGCCATCGGCCATGAAGCCGCAGTCCTCGCAGCGAATTCGAGAGCTACTTCCTTTTGCTTCCCCTCCTGCTTTCACCTCTTTGCGTTTGAGCTTTTTAATGTATGCAGAATCAGTAAGAAGGATGCTGTTTGGCATCGGTGTGCCTCCAGTCAAACATACCACAGCAGCCTGGCCTTCTAGAGCCAGACCTTCATGCAGCGCCTGCTCCTGCTCCTGCTCAGCAAGGGCCTTCAAGGATACAATGCAGGCATCAAAGGTAAGGGCTTTGGATATTTGTGTATCTGAATGACAACTTTCCTGTTTTGCATCTCTTATCAGATCTGAGTTTAGTTGTTCACCATCAGCTGGTTTACCACCTTCCTCTTGACTCTCTTGCTGTGCAGACTGATCCACTGCAGGTGGAGGTTCTGTTGGGGTCTCCAGGGGTCCAGACAATGCTTCATGTTCATCTGTCTGGTCAGCTGGTTCACCACCACTGGACAATATACTACTCGCTCCTTGGTTCTTATCTTCACTGCAAGCTTCGCTGCTAACAGCATCATCAGGCTCTGTGGTGATAGAGGGGCCACTTGTATTCTCCATTGCTTGGCTGTCTTCATCCTCAGATTCAGACTCATCACATTCAGGGTTCGAGTTTGATCGCACAAGTTCAATGACCTCCTGCAGCTTCAATGGAAGAGCCAGAGCTCTTTGTCCCTCGGTCCCTACTGGTTCTAGATATTTCTGGCTCTTCTGTTTGTGCTTCTCTGTGTTGGCATGGCGAGACATTTCCCTGCTGGTTACAGCGTAATAGTTACATGCTAGACAGACGTACTCAAAATCTTTGGTGTGCTTTCTCTTGATGTGAAGATGGAGCGAAGGGATTGACTGAGCTACAAAGTCACAATGGCTGCAGGAATTAACAGAGTCATAATTGCTTTTTTTCTGTTGTGCATCCAATTGACTCAGCTCTTCTCCGCTGTTTTCTTTGGAGGCTGTGTCGTCAGATTCCTGCTCTTGATTGGCCATCTCCGGGGCTGTATTTGGTTCCTGGTCTTCAGTAGCTGTGGGTTCCGGCGGTGATTCAACTGCGTCGTGGTTCACCAAGTTCTTATTTGTACACTCTTGCGCACGTTTAATGTGTTTCTTGGTGACGCAGTGACGATCCATGTCACCTTTGGTCACACAGCTGTAGTTGCAAAGAGTGCAGCTATATCCGTACTCCTTGCTGTGTTTGCGGCGGACATGGACACTGAGGTTGGTAGCGTTTGACACAACAAGGCCACAGTATCCACAAGTGGTAGTGGACCCATGCTTTGGTCTCCCTCTTTTCTTTTTAGGCGGTGAATGCTCTGAATCTTTCTCCTCGTCCGGCACAGCTTTGGCAGCCTCTAATGCCTCTTCTGTTTCCGGCTCTTCTTCCGTCACAGCAGCAGCAATTTCTCCGTCAGCCACTTGAGCTATATCGTCTATAACACCAGCACCATCTCTGCTCACACACTCAACATAGGCTTCAAACGGGGAAAGCTCTGTGTCGTTGTCGTCGGCCCCTTTCTGTTGAGTGTGGCTGTCGGAGGACAGGTGAACATCCATCCACTCAGAGGTGGCAGAAAAAAAGTCACACAATTTGCAGCGGTGCCACTTTTGGTCCAGGTGTTTCACTCTTGCGTGGCTCTCCAGCAATGCAGGGCTGGAGACTCGAAAATCACAACTGGTACACTTCACCTGAAAGCGGTTGATCGGACGTTTTGCTGCTACTCGTGTTGGAGTGGCCTTCACGGTGACGCCAGGGTCCACAGCTTTCTCTTCTCTGTCCGTGTTCTCATCAGTTTCAACTAAAAGACATTACAAAGGAACACTTTTAGGCCATAAACATAACATTAGATACTAAATGCAAAGATTGCAAATCAACAGAACTTAGACTTTCAGTCTAGTTTTTAAAAACTAACTAAACGCATAGTATTTTTTGATGTCTTGTTTTTCATGTGCCTAAATGGTATTTGTTATTTTTTTGTGTGGTGTCTTCTTGTCTTGTCTGTGTTTGCAATTGCTGATGTGACGGTGTAATTTCCTGTAAAGTATTAATAAAGTACCCATCTACCATCTACGTCAGACTAGGACTAATGTAAATATATATTACATATAATTTCTTTTAAATGCTTGTAAGTGATAAACATGTTGCGAGTCAGACTTGAAAATGTCTATCAGAATTTCAATGCAGAATTTCTCTTTCCCACATGTATTGAACTATCTAATGGGTACGTCAATTAGTATCCTGATAAGAGCATTCACAATAAACATATTGCAAAAGACATACATTACTAATACATAAGGGAAACTATTTTATGTAAACAACTTTCTCGTTCAGCATGTGGACATTTGACCTACTAGGGAGAGATCTGAGTATAATTTCAATGAATTTAAACTGTTTTGATGCTGTCAGAGATGAAGTCAGAGATAGCTATTGGCTACCCTCAGATTATTTGGTGCCAATCCAGGATGGAAATAAAATTGCTTTCTGGATTCATTTTGGATACTCGAGGACATTTCAAAACTCCCAAAGTATGTAAAACAGTATGAATGGAAGATGAACATAGAAACTAGAAGTTTTAGCAAGTTGCCCTCTTTAATTTTCTATCTTTTTGATACCACGTTATGTCATTATCACAAAATTGAACCAGGTTATAATACATTGCATATTTTTCTCACATCATGCTGACACTACCTAATATCTTAAAAAAACATCAACTCAGCGCGAGGCTGGATTTCACTTTGACTGAACCGGAGAATAGATCATACTCACATGTGAATGGGGTGTCTTTGGTGTGGTATCTCTGGACATGTACCTCCAAGGGGGCCTTGTCTCTAAACTCTTGCCCACAGTAGTTGCAGGAATATATCAACTTAGGTTTTGGGGTTCTCTTGCTTAATCTTCTTTCTTGGGTCGGGCTCACCTCCTCTTGTTCTGCCTGCTGTTTGTCTATTACAGTTTCCTTTTCTGCAATACTCTGTGTGTTCATGTCATGGTCATTGGATGCTGATTTCTGCTTAACAAGCTCAGACTGTTGGTTTTGTTTAACTTCAGTAGCACTTTCTGTTTCCATGTCTACTTCCTGTTGAGCTTCAGGTGGACTGGCATCATTTTTCTCAGCTGGCTTTGCAGCTCTGTTGGTATTCTTTGAGTTTTTTCCATGCTTTCTTGCAAAGTGAATCTTCAGTGATCTCGGACATTTGGCTAAGAAGCCACAGACAGAGCAAAGGCTGTCACCACCTTCAGGTACAGAGTCTGGCTGCTGCCCCTCAGTGACTTCCTCCTCTGCTTTATCAGTCAAACTGGGTGAATCTTTTTTAGTTTCCTCCATTTCCACATCATCTGACTGCACCTTTCCACCGCTGTCATCTTCAGGCACTTTGTCCTTGATTTCCTTCTTTCCTGATATCAATGTTTTATCCATATCATATCCTGTTATGAAACAGTGTTGATGATCTCTTTCATTGAAGCCAGATCAGACTCCTAGAAAAAGAAAATACATATTTTTCATCTCAAATTCTTTTTTAACAAACTTCACTAAATCAAAGAAAACTCTGGAAACAAGAGGACATTTCCCACATATTGGGAAGTTAACTACAAGCTTCAGAAAAGTGACCAGTTCTTCAATTCTTCAACAACTCTATCTGACTATACATAGGTAAATGTCGCCATCTAGTGCTTCCAGAGTCAAATTGTTAACTTAAACCATGGCATTATGAGCCGGCTGTTACTGCTTATTAAATGAGAAGGAAAAAAGTCTTAAGTAATAGTCACACATTTAATGGTGCACAGATAATGTCCATTCTGGTTTCCGATTCATTACCAAATGCATGTAAACATGATTCAGCACACAGTCATCACCCCTATTAGGACAGTAACGGTATGTTGAGTCTAGCTTTAAAAGTAATTACAAATAACCAGATTTCTAAAGCTTCAGCAATCTTCTATTTTCTGCACATGGAAAATGTTAATTTTCTTTATTTTTACACAAAGGCTTAAAATGAATGAAAGTGAGTTTTGTTAGACTTAAATGCTTCCATTTCTACCATCACACTTGATTGTGTTAAATTAAATTGGGTATCTTATTTGGTAATAAACTCTATTCTTGCCTCACTCTTATTCGTGTAAATATTTATTGTACTTGTTTATTGATATCCTACTTACATTCCTATTCTATTTGATTAATATTAGATTGTATATAACTATATTTCTACTGCTATTAGGTAAACAAATATATATATAGAGATATAGTGCAACTTCACTTATTTGCACTATATCTCTATATATATATTTGTTTACCTAATCAGTCACTGCAAAACTATAACTGTATATATTCTTTCAGTCACCACAACTGTCTATTTATTTATTATTATTATTATTATTATCAATTATTCACTGAACAGCAATTTCCCTGGCCACTTTTTGCATATTTCTTTCATATCACCACAAATATATATTTTTTTGGTTGTTGTTGTTTTTGTAAACGCTGTTGTTTAGGATTGCTGCTAACAAAGTTTTGTTGTGTCCTTGTATACAATGATAATAAAGATTCTATCTAAATTGTGTTTTAGAGAAACTGTAACGAAAAAATGTCCCTCTGGGATTAATAAAGTATTCATGATCTGATTTAAACAACTACTATGTTTAGGCCGACTGCTAACAGTAACAGTACCTGAACCCATAATGAACCATGAGTTCTGGTATTCAAAGAAGTATCGTAAAGATCAACAGGAATGCACTTTTACTTTATTTCAATGTAGGCCAACTTTTTATTATGCTCAATACCGCCATCCACTGTACATTTTGGTGGGTTTACACTTTAGGATTGACAAAAGCACAACAGTACCATGTTGTAGTAGTAAGTTTGTTCTGTTCAAATGTCTGCAGACAATGAGGAGTAGCTTAAAGGTGAATTATGAACTGTCGTATGTTTTCAGGTTGTTAATTGCAGATTATGAATCTCTTTCCTTCTTCAGACAACAGCTACCACAACAGCTTTGTCCCTGCTGCCGAGACTTGTAGCACAGGACATTAAGATGGGAAGGAAGTACTTCACCCCACACCTCACGGACTAAATGGACAGCTGACCACCTCACAGTGCAATACAAGTGTGCAATATTAACCTTAAAAAACAAAAAACAGTGCAATAACCTCAGGTGCAATAAGAGATAATAAGTGCAATAAGAAAACATATTTATATTTTCATTTCATTGTACAGTGTTTCCCTTGTTATTTGTTGTATTATATCTTTACTTTAATACAGTGTATAACTTCTGTACAGTTTATTTTAAATCACTTAGCTGTTACTACAACTTATTTATTTTTACTTTTCTACTCTTTTTTTCTTATAATGATATTCTATTTTATATATAATTTTAACTTTTTATTTGTAGAAGCTGACTCGGGGAGAAACGCACAAGAATTCCAATGTACCTGTACTGTCCTGTACCTGTGAAAATGGCAATAAACATCTATTCTATTCTCGCAGTTGCCTATCTTTCTCTCGGTGTACCTGTTGTTAGGCAGGTGCTTTCCTTTCTGTTCATCTACACTAGCTTTAAAGTAATGTTGTGTTAGCAGAACGGTGTCCAGGATGCATGATAGAAACAGAACCGGCAACGCCAATCTCCCGTTACCGAGTAAAACACAGCATGAAAACTCGTTTCGAGGCGCTAAATATCTCGAATCGGTGGGTAAAGAAAAGTAAGTTAAGTTGTTGTGGATACCGCTGCTGGAAATTGCGGCTTACATGCTAACTAGCATCATGCTCCCCCCAACTGTACTTTGAGGGACACAGAGCGCGTCCAATAAAATTGCTACATCAGCATCGTAGTCCAATCACATCGAGGCAAAGGCGGGGCTTAAATCGCTCTTTGGTTTGGAAAACGACGGCGGCACAGAGGCCCAAAAAGGAGGCTAACATCGACCTTCTGTAACAGTGCTATATGATGCAGAATCACAGCTTGAAAACACAAAATAGAACTATGTATCGTTTCTCTAAGCCTATCTTGATAAATGAAGTGCTAAAATTTTCAAAATAATATTGAATTTACCTCTTGTTATACGACTCTTTCCACCGTCCGCGCTTTTTGCTGCTAGACACAAATGGCGTACCGTAGCATGAGCCATGCGTCACACGAGAAGGCGGGGTCTCTGATCGCGGGTTGTCGTTTTTTCTAACTCAGCTGATTGGATCACATGACGCATTCAATTTCCGTGGGGGAAAAATCAACAACTGTACAAGCCAAGTAGCCTAGGCTATATACTAAACAGTGAAATTGGCTTTTTTTTTAGGTCTGAGACTGATCCAATATTATTCTTTTTTTTATTTTTAAGTATGATCCGCGTCTGAACCCTTAAAACCCACCCAGTAGGCCTAATGCAGATTGCCTACTGGGTGCATTAGAGTGTGCTGACAGATGGAGCATCATCATATTAGTCTATATTAATAGGCTAAAATAAGCTTTGTTATAGTTTTAATATATAGCCTAACCTACTGCATATTTAATAGGCTGTTACTAATATTTCTAACTGTTGTATTTAGATTTTTTCTATGTGGAACCCTGGAAGAAAAGCCATGTTCTAGTCAAGGGTACTGATGATAGCTAATGGGGATCCTAACAAATAAACAAATCCATAGCATATCCTGTTATATGACATGTTACTACAGTAAGACACAAGCCACTAATGCCATTGTAGGTAGATACATGTAAGTTTAGTGCTCACACATTTCCTCTTTCTAAGGTCACCACAATATCAGCACTTGTCATACTATCAATATAATTGTCCATGTGTGCAGTTTTGCAGTATGTAGAACACTGTCTTCATTTCAATCCTGCCAAAAATAAATTGTGATCAACTTTTTATTAAAATTCTTACATAAGATGTTTGTACACAATAGCTTCAAGGACATAGACAGCATCATCAAACAAACACACTATTTACAGATCACCATTGCCTTAATGAAGAAAACGATACATAAAAATTGAGACAAGTACAAAATGAATGAATAATAATTAAGATATGCATGTACACATATATATATACACACCCATACACAAAATAATACCTATACAGACACACCTCCATTGTACTTGATGACAAAAAAATCAAGTACAATTTCATACAGAGATATAGACAATGTGTAGGTTTTACATTTTGTTAATGTACCGGTTATATTTGTTCAAGAAAAAGTGGATCTGAAAGAGTTGAAATAAAGAAATCCCAAGCCTGTAAAGTGGATGCCTGTGCCTTGTTGATTGATTGATTAAATTTATTTCAGACATATCAAATAAAATCAATCATATCAAAAATACAAAACAAAATGAAAAGCACGAAAATACAATAAACAAAAAGCAATGTTTAAATTATTTCACAAAAAAAGGAAATTACATATATTCAATTGATATGCCTGAAAAGGAGTAGGAAAAAGTATAAAACTTATTTAATCCTACCCCTTTTCCACAGCTCAATAATTAATATTTATTAAATTAAATTCCTGTGTTCCTTATAAGCTCTCTATATATACAATCTATCTATATACAATTTGCTATACTATATTTATGATACTATATTTGATATTTACAATCCAATGATTTTCCAAACATATATACAACTTGATATACTATGAGTTCTTATAATTTATGTATTTATACAATCCATATATCTATATATACATATCTATTTGTACAATTTGATGTACTATATTTATATATTTATACAATCCTTATATCTATACAGTTTGGTATAGTATGTTTACAATTATACATTTGATGCAATCTATATATATATATACAATTTGATATAGGCTACTATATGTACAATTTATATATATATATAATACACATTAACATACACCTGTGTATACAAAACTTGTAAACCCAATTATTATTATATTTATTTTATTATTATTATTATTATTATTATTATTTTCCTTTTTGTGAATCACAGCTAATGATAATCCTGCCAAAGTTTGAAGAAACACAGTAATCTAGTTGTTGCTGTTTTTTAAAGAGAGATGTAAGTGTTTTGGCGTCCTTAATGAAATTTCCTGTACCTTTCCAAACATTTTTAAAATGTGTAAGTGTATTTTTAATTTTTGTAGCCTATTAATTCAAAGTAGGTTCATCATGTTGTCTCCACAGTGTGTTTTTTTTCAGCTGGTCAGTCAGTGATGAATCACTACTTCCATTTGACATCCTGTGTAAGCTCCATGTAGAGACTGAAGATGGATTAATGCACGGGCATTAATTGATTAAGTAGTCTGACAGGTCAGGAGGTGATAAATGATACCTTCTGCGGTGAATACACAGTTTACTTTGCAATAATTTTCTTTAATTCATCACAGTCAAAATTATATGACATGGATGGTTGGAAACACATGCACCTCCTCCCTCACCCAACCATTTTTCATTAGGATTCATCATTCATTTTTCTCCATTAGTTGTCTATTTAAACAGAGGAGACTGGTTTAAGTGGACACAGCCTCAGCCCACTCTCTTTTTCTGGCTCATGTTTCTTAAGTTTTGCTGTGAAATCAGAAGACCTTTTTTCTAGTTATTTGATTCCAGTCAATCAACCATGGCAACAATTATCAGACCCATGGAGAAAAGGGAAGTGGGAAGGGATATAAAACATGATTCTAGTTATTAATTAGTGACCTGATACTGACTTTATATTGTTCTTTTTTCCTTGTAAGTTAAAGTAATACCCTCAACTATACTTTATGTCTCAGTTAAAATACTGTTTTTTATTGCCTATATGTTCACTGAAGGTGCAGTCGGCCCATATAACACCTTTTCTAGCCTATATACATTAAATATCTGTATATTAAATGGTCTTGAATTGTAACTGGACTTTTGCTTTTCTAGTCTTCTGACTACTCAAAGCGCATTTACACAGCATGCCACACCTACCCATTCACACACTGATGGCAGAGGTTGTAGTGAGACCATCAGAAGTTACTAAACCCATTCATACGACACCAACAAAGCAGCGGGAGCAACTTGGGGTTAAATGTCTTGTCCAAGGACATATCAGACATGTTGCTGTAGAAGCAGAAGCTGGGGCTCAAACCTCCGACCGACTCTACCAACTGAGCCACAGCCGGCCTTTGTCTTAACTAGGCCTTGACAAGATAGGCAACGCTTTTTATACTGTAAACTTTTCTAAATAATGAAAGTGGTCTTGATATCCACAGTCACAGCAATAGTATGATAAATAGTAGCTATCCTGTAAGAGATCAGAAATCATGCTATGCATCAGATTTACAGACGTATAGTGTATGGTCATATTTATGCATTCTTTATATGTGATATCTTGTGAAGTGTCCACACTAAAGCACTTTTTTAAAATATATTCTCTGTTGTTTTAGATAATTTACTTCCTGTATATTCTTTGTCTGATGACATCAATCAGTCAAACTTTATTTATATAGCACCTTTCAGACAAATTGCAGTTCCAAGTGTTTTACAAGAGTGCAGAAAAGTTATTGACAAAATACGATTACATTGCTTCTGTTGCACAGCTAACTAGTAACTGTATTTAATTGTGAGCTGCTCCTGTAAAAACAAATAAAATCTATCAAGGAATCTTTGTGACTGTCCGGACAATAACAAATCGTCTGAAAATTGAATGAATTTCAGTGTTTTTTAAAAAGACTCTGAAGTGCCAAGTTGAGGTTCGGAGTGTTAAGTGTCTTCACACACCTGGTCCACTCACACAGGTGTCTTCATACCTAATCAGTCCTCTCCTCAGGATTGTGCTAGTGTTTGAGTGGCCTTTTTCCAACAGTAGACTTTTGGGCTTGCCATAGCACTAAAATCACGTGTTAATCATAACATTGACAAAAGCTCTGTTGTATGGCATGTATCAGTGTCAGCATCCAGGAAACTAGGACCCTGAAATTAAAGTAGCTTAATACAATTCAGCAATCAATTCTTTAAGTCATAAAAAAAAGACTATTCTACATACCCTGACTCAATGTTATTCACTGCATGATAACACACCTGTATTATTCAAGGGTTCAGTTAACTGATGGACTCAACTAATGAAACCCTTTCCTCTGGATTGTTGTTGCTGAGCAATGGCAACAAGTGATATTAAATCATAGTTTGAAAAATGTTTATGCCGTAAAGAGTCAAATGTTGCAGAGGCCGTTATCCCAAAGATATAGAAATCATTCAGAAAATGAAGTGGTGGTTTGCAGGCAACACCAATACACAAGCCGACTTGAACAGTACTGTGTACTTACTGCATTAGAGTGTTCAAGCTATGTGATTGTTCATTCTAGGTTGGAATATTGTAACATTGAAGATAATATTACTAATAGAACTTTGTCACTAAAATGTCAATTGCAGTTTTCTGATTTCCTGAGGCAGTGGGCTCCTGACCTGCATCTGGTATGAGACTTCAGGTGAACTCTACCAGTGAAGGAGGCTGTTGAGAATATTTAAGAGGAGTGGTTTCTCTGAGTCATCTTGGCTCTGAAAGATTATAGTTCAGTGAATATGATCACTTTGTCCAACGCCACCTTGAAAACTTCTTTATCACTACTCAAAATTTTGCTCATGATATTTAATTTGAAGCATTTATCAACAAAATTAAATAGAATACCTGTATTGTCACAGCACGCCATACAACATTTGCTGTGCATCTCTAAGACTAAAGGGGAACATCCTGCCAGTACCCACATGCATTCAGCCACAGTCAGAAATACAGACTCCAAAAGTATGCAGCAGTCTTTTGATTATACATAAAACACATCCATTGTTTACACAAATGTAAGCCCGAATCAAAGACTAAATGAACCCAGGGCACACATTGCAGCTAACTAGCAGGTCTGAGTGTAGCTGGTTGTTGTGTGGACAACACATTGGCACACATAAAAGATGTATCATGTACTTATTTCACAGTTTAATAAGGGTTAAATTCAAGCTGGATGACAACAATTCAAAACATTCAGTCACTTGTTCTTTGCATGAGTGAGGGAGATATCTTTTATTTTAAAGTAGCAAAACAGCATTATAATAATATACTTTAAAAGCAATATCTTTATTTGTATAGCACCTTTAAAAACAAAAGTTTTCAAAGTGCTTTGAGAGACAAAGCAAAGGCAGGAACTTGTGACACAAATCC